GTGGGTATTAATTTATTGTTTATTCAACTTTAATTAGGGTGCTTAAATAGGTGATCTGTTTTACAGAAATACCCTCGTGCGGCTTTGCCACGTTTCTCGTGACCGTGTTTGGCTGATGGGTTAGAAATGGTAGAACAAGGGTGGTTTAAGTGTTGGTCCAAAAACAGAAATGTTGAAATTAAGTCAATAAATATGGGCTAAGGAAAACTTAACCACTTCTAGAAAAAAAATTCATGTTTCCAGCATGAGTCAATGGTTAAATAGTAAATGTATTAAATGAAAATTTAACATGAAAAATGGGTTATATTGGTAAGTTTTTATATAAACACTTGTATATTGGTAATAGTATTTTGCTTTTGTTTTTAAAGTAGTTTTGGTGTATAAATTTTATACATTATCATCATTTTATTGAAAAATTAATCGAAAAAAATTTAATAAGCACTTATGATTTTAGGTGTTTAATTAACAATTAAGGAACACATGAAAATAATAAGTCATATTTTTTTAATTTATGAAATTCAAGTTGATTGAAAATCTTAAAACTAAAAAAAAAGTAATTATTTTACCTTCCATTTTTGTAGAAGTTAATTAGGGCACCACACAAATACGGCCCTTTCCGTATAGGGACAGGAAGGTAAATTCACGACAAGTATTAAAAGTTATCTTGAAATATCGGACAACATGTCGAAAAGGAGCAGGAACATCGGCGATGACGAAAAAATGCACAGAAATGTAACAGAGGAGAAAAGAAAAGAAATAAAAAGAACACGTGTTTGAAATACTAAACAAGCGAGGCAATAAAGTATTGAAGCACCCTCTCGAAGCTGCAAAAATCAAGCTTAAAAAAGCCCCATTTATTCCTCGTGCTTTTAACTCGCCTCCCTTCAGCTTTTCAGAGATAAAAACCATTTCGCCCTTCTTCTTCTTCTCATCCTCCTCCTCCTCTTCCTATAAAATAAAGTTTGTCCTCCTTTAGCTAAACATCACAGTTTCAAACAGATCCTTATTGCAGCTGTAAGTTCGAAGATCGAGGTATTCGATTACGAATCATTCTCTGAAAACCCAAACGAGCAAAAGGGGTAAACAGTTGAATTTTGTTTTTCGGAAAGTATGTCGTGTTCGCCGGAATTCATGGGTCAGAAATCGGCGAGGTCACCGGATAAGCCAAGCTTTTCCCAAACTTGTAACTTGTTGAGTCAGTACTTGAAGGAGAAAGGTAGCTTTGGAGATCTAACTCTGGGGATGACATGCAACGTGGAAGCTAATGGTAAGTTCCTTATTTCTTTGCTTTTCTTTAATTTTTCTTCTTCTTTCTAGAGTTTTGGGCTGACGAGGAACGCAGAAGAGCTGAGAATGAATTAATGAATTAGAGTTTCGAGTTTGTTTTTTCATATATTTTTTTTTGTCTAAGTTTTCAAAGTCGAAACTTGATTTAAAGCTAGCTATATAAATAAAACTCAATTATGTCTTGTTTTTTCGCTTTTTCTTTTACCTGGACACGCGTTTTGAAATTCAAATGTTGGAAGCGGTTTAATCAAATTAAGCCTCGACTAATGATCTTTGTTGTCTGTAATTTTAGCAAAATTTGCTTTTTTTTGTTGTCTAATTTCAGATCCATAAAATCAGATTTGCAAATTGACATATTCAATCTTTAATTTTTCAAACAGTCAGAAAACGTGCCCTTTATTCTCTCGGTCTCCCTGGAAACTCTCCCTTTGAAAATTTGTTTTGGAAAAGAAAAAAGATATGTAAAGAAGAAATATACCATGTGCGTGATCCAAAAAGTTCCAATTCTTGAGGGGATGGGTATTTGAAGTCTTTGTTTATATGTTTTTTGAACAAAATTCTGTTGAGATAATCCCTTGGTTTTATATTCTGTTGACAAAATACCCGCCTTTAGATCTCATTAAACTGGACAGGATCCTTGGATTTTCATTATAAATAGCCACTACTTCTGTTCCTGAAACACAAGTGTTTAAAGTATTAAAGGTAGTTTTAAGAGAATACAGTGTTTCACTCTAATGGATCATCTTCTTTATGGATATGTTGTAGGGACACCGGAGATGCTGCGTCCTACCATGAATTTGTTTCCTGTCAATGAGAACTCGGGTGATGTTAATAGCCGAAACCTTGCAGCTCCTCGGAACTTGAGATCCATGGATTTGTTCCCTCAGCAAGCTGGTTTTTCATCACCGTCTTCTAAGGATGATGGTCTGAAAAGGGTTGATTCTAGTGTTAACAGCATGAACAAATCTGCCGCAGTGGAGCCTCAAACTGCACAGATGACTATCTTTTATGGTGGACAAGTGATTGTGTTCAATGATTTTCCAGCTGACAAAGCCAAGGAAATCATGCTTTTAGCTAGCAAGGGAAGCTTTCAAAACAACAGCTTCAACCCCAATCCTGCCAAGACAAATGTCCCCTTTACTTCTAGCATTGCTAGAAGTCCAGTTGAACCTGGCGTTGGAGTTCCTCCTACTACAAATGTGGCTCCTAATTTCGTAAACAATGCAACTCAAGAATGCATTCAATCTGCTCAGCGACCCATTCCTGGCGGTAATCCTCATGTTCCACTTTAGTTTTTTCCAATGGAGAACATAAGAAGATGAAATCATGCTTCATGTTGTCATGTTTTATATAGGGGTTCTTATTAGTTTTTGTCTATTGCAGATCTACCAATTGCTAGGAGAGCTTCACTCCATCGGTTCCTAGAGAAGAGAAAGGATAGGTAGGCATCCAGAGATCAATATAGGAAATTACATTTTAAAATCTATTGTAACTTCTGTTGACGTAGGTGATTGGAGTCAAATTTTTTTTTTGTGTCCTGACATATAGGCCATAGCTTGATTCCTTGTGATTCATGTACGGAGGGCTGAGAGAGTCCTGCTATTCTTTTATTTTTTTATCAAAATCTTTCAATTTTATCAGGAAATTTTAGAAAAGAAGGGGGGTTGTAATCGGCGGGTTTAGGTTTGAGTCTTTCCTTTTGGGATTGGCACCATAAATTGTTGTATTGAGTAATAACTTAATAAAATTAAAGCCTATGTACCTTTGTCTAAAATTTTTGGGCGAGAGAGATGGTCCTCCAAACTTTTGAGTTAATTTATTGACGTTGATATCCTTTATGATCATTTTACAGGATCACCACAAGAGCACCATATCAGATAAGTAGCTCTGGGGCATCTCCTTCCAAGCCAGGCGACAGCATGTCATGGCTGGGTTTGGCTGCTCAATCACCACAGTAGTCTGTCAAGTATTCATTTTTGAGGCTTTTCTGAAGCCTGCTATCCCCCCCTTTTTTTTTTTT